CAATAGTCCTGTAGGTCCAATCTCCAGAGAACAGCCAACCACCAAAGGACCAGTGCTGCCAGCAGGGTCCTGACAGCATTGCCGGCCTTCGGGAAGTCAGCCTCAGGCACTGTGGCCACTGCCCCTCTCAAGAAGCTCCGCAAGGAAGAAACGATATAAAAGCGACTGCCAAGTGGCTCCAGACAACCAGCAGGAACATCAGTGGGAAAGAGTTGGGGGGGACAGATCCTGATCCTGGTCCAGAAAGGGTGTCCCACCACCCGCCTGGAGGGCCCAATCACATCCAGGCCCCTGCCCCCTCCTCAGGACGGGTGTCAGACGGAGGGCTCATGGTTTGGGAGCTCCACTGCAGCAGTGCAAGCCCCTCCAGATCGGGACTGACTGGGAGAGAGCCTGTGGCAGGCGCAGGGGGCTGGGATGAGCAGGAGTGGCAGGTGGCGTTGGACTGCAGGTTTTGGCCCGATTCCCGCAGGCCATGCAGAGAAACCCGACCGGTGCACCAGGCCTCTAGTATTATAATAACTATGTGTGGTGACAGCTGGGTTCTGAAAATATCAGGGGGAACACTTTGTAAAGTATATGATCGTCCAGTCACTGTGCTGTGCACTTGAACCCAATGTACAATAATACCGAAAGTAAAGTGTAATTGTAAAATTAAAAATAAGGAAATTGAAGTTTAAAAAAGACTTACCTATTTGAATCATGGGGGAGCAGATGTGACCACAGCCCTCCCTGATGCACTGTTCTCCTTGCCCTCAGTCCCTGCCTGCTCTGCATTGGGGCTCGCAGATGCCTGAGGAGACGAAAGACTAGTTAAAAGCTTTTAAGTCTTACACTTGATGAATAAAATTTTAAATGCCTTCACAGTGTCATCCAAAAGCCCATCAATTACCTAAGTATAAATCTAACAAATTATATTCAGAAAATTACATAATATTACTAAGAAAAAATTGAAAAGATCTTAATAAACAGAGTCATATACGGTGTTCACGGATTAGAAGATTTACGATCATGAAGATATGAGTTTTCCCGAAATTGAAATTTAATGTAATTCCAATGAAAATCTTAGAAGGATTTTTAAATGAAAATTCATAAACTAATACTAAAACTTATATGAAAGTCCTAAAAATCAAGAAAAATCAGGATAATTTTTTAGTTTTTTTTCAGTTACAGTTGACGTACAATATTACATTAGTTTCAGATGTACAACATTGTGATTAGACATTTATATAACTTATAAAGTGTTCACCCTGAATCAAGACAATCTAGAACAAAGTTGTTGGGGTTGGGGGGCAGGGAAGGGGTGGAAGAAAAAGATGAAATTAGCTAATTTTATACTGACTATTACTCATAGTAGTTCACTTATAATTATCCACATAAAAAGAAGGGAGCAAAGGTAATACTTAAAGGTGTTAGTATAAGAGAACTATTACAACAAAAATATAAACCTTTCTAAATACAAAACATATAGTAAGAGAGAGAGAAAGGGAGACAGATTACACCAATAAAATAGGTTACACAATGAAAGATCATCTAGCTGGTAAAGAGGAAATAAAACTATAACAGTAAAAAGGTATGATAAATCACACAAAAGGAGTTCTTATCTTTTAAAGATACATACAGAAGTCAGCTATAATAATAGAAGCATAATATATGCTAATTAGATTGGATATCCCTCTGGACGACCTTCCAAATGAAGCCGGAGCTGCGAGGGAAGCCCGGGTCCCCGGTGCCAGAGGGAAGCTGGTGCCGACAGCCAGGGGAAGGAAGGCCTACTCTTGCATGAATTTGTGCATGAGGCCTCTATTTATGTCATTAAATAATGCCTGGAATTTTCTTCAAAATAGCATGAGATGAGGGGAAATGAATGGGATTATAAAAGAAGAATGATTACACATTAACAGTGGTTGAAGCTGGGTGATGGGTATGTGGTATATCATTATACTATTCTGTCTACTTTGTATGTGTTTACATTTTCACATAATAAAAAGTTTAAAAATAAACTATTTGTCCTTACAATCAAAGCTCTCTTAATTAATCTTGGATGAAAATAGAATGTGTCAAATTTCTCCCAGGTCCTGTAAGGACTGAGCCCCAGAGTGTATACCTCAGTGAGAAAGTCCTCGTGAAATAAAACAGTACATTTCCCAACTCCATAGCCAACATTCCCATTCTGATCTACTCACACTTTCCACACAGCCTGTCCAAACAGCTCATACTGCACCTAGCCCTCACACATTGAGATTTGGTTAAATGATTATTTGGAGAAAGAAGGTGGAAATAAGCTAACTTTCTGTGTAAACTGGGCTGGGAGAGCTGTTAAGTGCAAGAGTGGACTGGTTGTTATTGGTTTATTGGTTCTATGGGTATCATTTTTTGTTTTCTCAATCACTTTGCAAGGAGTGGATATGACTTCCAAGAGAATAAGGCTTTCGGTTCATTCCATCGAAAGGCCCTTTGTGGGATCTGTCACATTTTTTTCTCAAAGTCAAGGGCTCATTTGGAAATAAGAAACAAACTTTGTCCTGATCAGTGTGGCTCAGGGGTTAAGCATCGACCTAGGAACCAGGAGGACATGGTTCGATTCCTGGTCAGGGCACATGCCCAGGTTATGGGCTGGATTCAAAGTGGGAGGGTGTGCAGGAGGCAGCCAATAGATGATTCTCTCATTGTTGACGTTTCTATCTCTCTCTCTCTTTCCCTTCCTATCTAATGTCAATGAAAATATATATTTTTTTAAAAGAAACAAACTTTGAAAGGCACTGCCTCCAGGGATACCTTCCTACAACCAACTGTTCACAGACTTCCAGAAGAGCAAAAACCAGAGCAAGAGGAACAGCCCAAGTAAGCAGACCTTATGCATGTGCTACGCCTTGAGTGTGCTCTGGAGCTCGGCATTTCAAGAAGGTAAATAAATAATCACATAAAAAGAGCACTTGAAAAAGTCTTTACCAAAACAGGCTTTTATATGACTTCCTTGTCTAAAGTATGCAGGCACTGATGGTGAGGGAAAAGACTCAAAAGCTACCTGGCCAGGCTGGAGGAAGTCTCAGATTTCGGTGACCCAACTACACACATAGGTACATTGCTGCTGTGTTAGGGAGGTGGAGCCAAATCCACTTCATGGCATAGAATTGGGGAATGATGGGTGGTCAGGAGGCCACACATAGGCTGTACATGAGAGAGGCAGCCAGCCTAGAGGTGATGAAGAACTTTGGTTCATTGAAAAATGCCTACCAAATATATACATGTAATTCTTCATTTTTAAAAATATAAACATGGGTGGGCAGGGGAATCCCAAAGGGTTCTGGGAAAACTTTCCTTTAAAGCTTATAAAGCCCGTTGCAGATGACGGTGTGGAAAGAGAAAAGACCCAGTCAATGCCCTTCTGCTCCACCCTCCCTGTCCTGGTGTTAAATATGAAACATAGATAATCCATACATGTCTTTCTATTGGGACTGTAACACCTGACCAGGAGAGCCCTACCAGTGAACATCTTCCCTCTTTAGGAGAGAAGGTCAGAATGGTACAGGGCATGGAGCATTTACCTAAAAGCCAAACAGACATGGAAGAGAATACTGGCTCCTCTACTCATTAAGAGTGTTGGGATTGGCTGGTTTTGCTCGGTGGTTGAGCATCAATCTACGTACCAGCAGGTCATGGTTCAATTCCCATAGGGGCACTTGCCCAGGATATGGGCTCAGTCCAAAGTGGGGGCCATGTGGGAGGTAGCAATTGATGATTCTCTCTCATCATTGATGTTTCTATCTTTCTCTCCCTCACCCCTCTTCTCTCTGAAACCTTTAATAAAAACAAATTATTTAAAAAGGAGTGTAATGTTGGGCAAGTCATTTAGCTACTTGGACCCTCTGTCTCTTCATCAGTAAAATTTACAAAAAATTCTGCTACTGAGATGATGTTATAGAGTTGTGGTGAGTGTAAAGTGAGATTCTACATGTGAAAGTGCCTGTGCTGGTGAGTGTTTATTATCCTCCCCTAACATATGGCTCCAAAATCTGGGTGACCACAGAGCCTGTATAAACGTCAGGACTAACAAAAGGGCAGAAACATAAGTGGACGTTGTAGGATGCCACATTGAATATCTTTGCAGGGGAAGGTCATACCTTGGCATTCAGAATGGCAGATAGTACTTGAAATTGTTTGAAAACATGTTATGACGTGCTCATGAGCCCCCAGTAATGACCAAGAGAGACAGGAGCAGGGTGGGATTTGGGGTGTGGATGACCAGCCAGTAAAAGAAGGTATCAAAGCTAATATGCCCTCATTCCAATGCACAGGCTGGTGAGGCCATGGGCCACTGGGGTTATAAGATGTGCTAGACGGCAGGGACAAGCAGGCATGGCCGACCATGGCAGAGGCTACGTGGGGCAATCGAGGTGGAAAAGTGAACAGGGAGCGCTGGGAGATGGAGCTTGTAGGGTCAGCCCAGACCATCGTTTTTGTCAGGGCTTCTTTGGGAGACCCAGGCTTATCCTCTGCCTCAGGAAAACTCTGATTCAAAGACTCCAACCACAGAGCCTATGTCCGGACTTATCCTAACTCCTAATCACTTCCCAGCCCACACCACTCAAAGCCCCACATCCCAAGGCCAGGGATGCTCTCATCGTGTTAGGCATCCAGTCCTGCTACATGTCGGTGTATTGCCTTAGAATAGAGTATCTCCACAGTTGCTTCTGCTCCTACTCCTTCTGAGTCTTGCCCTTTAAAAGCTGCTACTATAGGCCTGTTATGTGCTACAAGGTCATTTTTTTTTTTACCAAAATCATATTCACAGAATGCTTGAGAAAATAATATCATGTCCTTTGCCCTGTTTAGATACATGGACATGGAAGGAGGAAAGAAACTAGCTGGCAGACTTTGCCTCTGATCTATCCTGAGTGCCTTGTATTCATGGGTTCAGTACAGGGCACACAATCCGTTCTGTTCATCCACAGAGGGTCCACTAGAAAGAATGTCTAAATGGGAAGAATGACACAGTCTCAGTGATGCACCAGGTAAGATTTATTTTGGACACAAGCTCTTTAGAATCAGACATTCCACCACGGTCGATCTTCATTTTCTGGGATAGACGCCTGTCAGGAATGATTTGTTAAAGAGTGTTGTTATGCCAAGCATTAGATTCATGTATCCAGGCACGCTTAAACCCCCCCCCCTTTCTTCTTCCTCGTGGTCATCAACATCATCCTTTTAAAATATATATTTGGTCTTGACATTTCCTCTTCTCAGAAACCTCAAGCAGTCTGCCCAACTCTTTGGCAAGGCAGCTCATTTCTTTCTGGACCCTGGCTTGGATGATCCTCTACTGAGATGAACTTCTACTGAGCAAAATCTCAATCACTTTCCCATTTCCAGTGTAGAAACCCCATTTCTCCATCATCTGTACTGCCCTTCCTTACTGTGGCAAACTTTATGCCTCCTTTAAGCTCTCCCTTAAATGTTCTCTACTCTCTGACAACCTTGCGAAGCCACACTGATCCACCCACTTAGGCAAAACCAATAATTATTTCCTGTGCTTCCACAGACCTTAGTAGAAATTTGTGCAAAGGTGTGGTCACCCTGGGCTGTAATTATTTACATAGTTCTGTCTCCATTAACTAGCTGCATTTACCTTTTCATCTCACCTTCAGCACAATGCCTGACTGACACAGGAAATACTCCATAATTGGGGTTCTCTTTCCTTTCCCTCTGCCTCCCAGGATCACCCATTTTCTAGGAAGAGTGAAGCCCCCTTGGTGGGGAAGGGGAAGGAGGGTGACAAACCCTGGGTCAGTAATGACCTGTGAATCTAGGATCATGGTTACTTGTCTCCACTGAGAGCCCCTTGGGGACAGAGACAGGGAGAGGGCTTCTCTCCGAGGAGAGGGTCTTAGATAATGCAGCCAGGCGTCCTTCTGCCATTCACTTCCAGCCTCTTTCTCTCCGAGTTACCCAGACGTCTGTGTGCAGTGGACATGTGAACATCCATCAGCCCCAGGAAAGTCCACTGGGGAGATGTTAACACCCTTGTCAGCTCTTGACCGATTTGTACTCACATAATAGATAGCAGGTTGGCAAGCACGGCCACATCCATTGAAGCAGCATTTCATTCCCCTGGGACATGAGTTATCTCCCCAGCAACTATCTTCACAGATCCCAACGCCTCCTCTGGTCACGTCTGGGCAGAATCCAGATCTTCTTCTCCCTGAAACATACAATGGTGTTTGTGGAGTTTGGAATAGTCACTAACCAGGTAATAAAAACTGCTGTTAGAGGTCGACAGTCTCACTGCTGGCAGGACTGCCACCTCTTTCATTTCTTCCTTTGTACTCCTGGACCCTCCCTCAGCCTCGGCAGATCCATCCTCACACTGAAGCCCCCATTTTCAGTCAGGCCCTTAGGAGAATGTTCTCCCTGCTGCAAAGGCTGCCCAGTTCCGCAGGCAAGAAACCTGCTCTGTCATAAGCCTCTTCTTTCCTCCTTATAAGATATTAGAAACATCTCTGATCCCAGACATCCGTCTTTCCACCTCAAACGTATCCCATGTTCATCCCGGGGCTACTCTGTGTTGGAGCCCTACATCCCAGGCACATGTAGAGAGAGCCCCAACTTTTAATAAGGCCCAACCTGATCTGATAAGAAGAATGGGGCCCTGGCTGGTGTGGCTCAGTTGGTTGGAGCATCGCCCCACATACTGAAAGTTTGCAGGTTCATTCCCCACTCGGGGCACATATAGTAGGCAACCAACCAATGTTCTCTCTCACCTCTCTCTCTCTCTCTCTCTCTCTCTCTCTCTCTCTCTCTCTCTCTCTCTCTTTCAAATCAATAAGCATATCCTCAGGTGAGGATTAAAAAAGAAGAAAAGAAGAAGAATGGGAAATGCAGGGTGATCACTCCTTGAAGGTTAAAGAAAGTGGGTCTCATCAATGCCAAATCTCCACTCTGCAGCCTGTTCCTGTGCCACACCATCCCAGGTAAGAAGCTGGGCTCTGAGCCTCCTCTGCTCTCGGGTAGGACCCCCTCAGCACCCTTACTTCCACCCTTACTTACGTGCCTGAGTGAAGGCCATCTCCATCCCCAAGATGACAAAAGCCACTAGAACAAAGACTGTGCCTGTCTTCATGTTGGCCTTTGATGTGAATGCACACACTGACCCCAGCCCCAATTTATACCCTCAGTGACACCAGAGAGGAGTGTGAGGGGGGCAGAACAGTAAATGTGTAACATGACCTAGTTACTTTGTTCTATTTCATAACTGATGTCTCTCTAACTAGGGTATGTTTTCTGATAGATAGAAATCCAAACAAGAGAGTTCAGGCAAACTTTGTTCATTGCTACATCACAACTTGGCACTGGTTTCCCTGGTGTCAATAGAAAAAGTGGCCAAAGAAAATAATTTTCTGTGTATAACTTAGAATTTCAGAGTAAGAGCTTAAACTATGCAGGTAGGTGTTATTCCACCTGGTGCCTCCTGGAGGTTCCCTTCCAGGAGGATTCAATGTGCTTCTGGGAGAGATGGTGAACGGGTTGTGCTTTGGAGCCATCCAGGGCTGTGATCCCCAAGTAGGGGTGGAATGAGGACCTCCCCTTCATCACAAAGGTAGGTAGTAAGGTCGCTCATCTGAGGAGATGAATGTTCAAAGACCACAAGCTGGCAGGGCCCTTGGGGATGGAGAGACAGGGTCCACTCTTGATTGCGGGTGGTCTCTGAGCCAACCCTGCTCCATATGAGAGGTCCCTAGATAGAGGCCCGTGTGGGTGAGCTACAATGAGCTGAACTACAGGAAAAGACTGTTACAGAATTTCAGAGAAGGGCTATAGAGGTAAAATTCCAATGACTATAGGAATGAAGAAAAGCCTGCTTTGTCCTTGGGAGTCAGATCTGGGACAAGCACCTCATGAGCACCTATGGGGAGGCCAGGATGAGGTACTCTAAGATCACACGAACACTAAGCGAGCCAAGAGAGGAGGGCTCAGACCAGCCACCTCAGGTAGTTAGCTCACACCCAGCATTTCAGACTCTTTGGCTGCTCAAAGGGTACAGCACCCAGGACCCCTCTGTCTGAACAAGGGACCAAAGTACCTGAAGAAGACATGCAGCTCAGTACAGGGTGGAGATCAATTGCCCAAGGCAGCACAGAGCACAACAAAGAGAAGCCCAAATGCAAATCCGAGGTGTCTGGCCAGATGCCAGACTGCTGAGTAGCATGGCCTTGGTGAGTGTGTGGGGCCAAGGTGCACAGCCCCAAAGAACTTGCAGGAGAACCCTACAGAGCACCGTTGGCCAGGGGAGGACTCCCTAATCCCTCTCTTCAAGTGACAATACCACTATAACTTCATTATCATCATCTTCAAAAGGTTTTTTTTGCATTATTTTCATGTGTTTAGTATGTGTGGGAGCACTCGCTCCTCGAAACCGCACATACTTCTGAATCCTGCTCACAGCACCAAGAATTCGAGCAAGTTCCTCCTCGGACCCTGCTCACTATACTAACGTTGGGAGTACAGGTCCTGATCCTGCCCTACTACTCCAACTGTCAGGTCCAAGCCTCTCTGCTAGGGGCAAGACCTTCTCGGACACTGGGTGGTAGATGGAGAAGCCATGAGAAGTTGAGTAAAGGGAAGAGAAGGTAGTATTTTCAATGCTTCAAGAACTTAATGTCAGAATTAAGTTTGTCCCAGAGTACAATTAGCAAGAACTTTGTAAATGTAGACATACAAAAGGAGAGGTTTAAAGCACCCTTAGGATAAAGGCTAGAAACCTAAGGCTCTGATGGTTTGGGCATTCCTTATTTTTGCTTTTGTTGTTCCATTTCCTGACACTTTTAAAAGGTTGTTGAATCTCTGAATTAACTCATAAAAGAATGGTAGCAGCCTTCATTGCTTCCAGAGAAGAGAACTGGATACTTGGGTATAGAGCTAGGAGGGAGATTTATTTTTTGTTGCATATGTTTTGAAATTTTACACAATATCTACTGTTACCTATTCAAAAATTATTAATTTCAAGGCCATTGAGTGCATGATAGCAAAACTATTGGGGGTGGGAAGGAATTCCCCACCACCCTGTTAGAATCAAGCCTGTCTTTCCCTAAAAAAAAAAGTTCTCTTTTCTTTAAATAAATATATGTTACACAATTATCAAATATCTAAAATGAAACTATTGTCAATGTAAGAAACGTCTTACACCTGTAGATAATTTTTTTAAAATATTTGTATTGATTTCAGAGAAGAAAGGAGAGGGAGAGAAATAGAAACATCACTGATGAGAGAATCATTGATAAACTGTCTCCTGCTCGCCCCACACTGGGGCTCAAACCCATAACCCAAGCATATGGCCTGACTGGGAATTGAACCATGACTTCCTGGTTCATAGGTCAACACTCAACCACTGAGCCATGCTGGCCAGCCTCCTATAGATAATTTTTATGACTCCATTTGAGCCAAACTGAAGCCAATTGCCGGGAAGCAAAATCTCAACAGATCGAGAAAATGCTCCTGAGAATGGCAGTTTTGCAATTTACTTTATACATTAGAATAAAAGGAGGAGCTGTAAGGAGGATTACATGAAATTCATTGGTAGTAGATTAAGGAGGCAGGAGAAAGCAAAGTGGGGAAATCTCTGAGATTAGATAAAAAGCAAAACGGTGGGTGCAAGATAGTTAACATCTCTAGCACAGAGAGGTGGTATTTGGGCAATAAGATAACAATGTGGTCTCATGCTCTGGTTGTGCGATTGTATCTTAGAGGAGTCTGGAAAAGATAATTACTCTGACATTTCCAAGGTATGTTACCTTAGTTGCACTAAGACAATAGACAGGCTCACTTAAAGATAAAGATTAATCTTTGTCAAGGAAGCTACAGGCCTAGGATGTGACCACCAGCCATGACCCACTTTGAGTTAGGAATTTTAATGTTCAGACCATCCTATGTGGTTACTTTCCGTCTCTGAGTCTGTAAGGCCCGTCATGCAGGCCTCCCTTGCACTTGTCAGCTTTGGTAGGTGGCCCCCTTTTCATCCGCACTATTTAAAAAGGAGAAAAATGCAGTCACAACTTTCCCTCAATTTCTCTACCTTTTTCCATTTTGTCTGCTTGGGCTCCGTGGAACCCAACAGGAGAGGCGTTAAGAAGGGAGCACAGGTGGAGACAACTAGAAAAGAGAGAGAGGACAAGTCCCCTGGGTTTGGGAAGGGTGAGTATGGAAAGGAGCTCAGGGCAGCCATGTGGCCGCTGAGCTCAGCCATGAGGAAGAACTGTGGTTCCTTTCATCATCCCCAGCTCAACCTGCATCCTTGGTCCCTGCTTCTGCTTGCTCAGCTCCTGGCCTCCTGGGAGGAGGATGCCTGGCATGGGAGTGTTACTGAAGATTCTGGGTCAGGGTGAGCTAGGGAGAGGACAAGAGTTTACATAAACCAGAGCATGAGGAAACAGACTCCCTCCAATAGGGAAAGAGGACCTGGGAGGCAGACACTGCAAGAGAAGTGAAAAGCACAGGCCTGACTTCCCGCAGCTGCTCCACCAACAGTAGTCTCTGCCCCCGTTCTGGCTCTGGCCTCCTCCCAGAAACCCAGAGAAACCTCAACTGAAAAGTCAAGTAAGGAGATACCAGCTCCCTGGTCTCAGGGTAAGAAAAGGAAGTTTTATGAAAAGAAGACAAAGGAAAAAACCAAAGTCTCATATTGCGCAACAGGTGAAGTCCCACATTGTCCCACCCAGAGGACTCCATGTTTCTGCTTGTAATTCCCGGATGAAGCATTTCTTCACGAGGGTAACCAGGTCTCCTGCAGCTCCTGGGGAATGGAGTTCCTCCCTTCTAATTTGCTCAGGGGCAGGGAGGTGTGGAGGAAAAAGATTCCACTGTGAGGGAGAGACCCAGATTCTGGCCCTAACCCTGCCCCCTCTCTAATAATAAAGCCAGAGACAGGCCACAGCTCTGCTCTAGACTTCCTGGGACAAACGAGAGGATACAATCTTCCAGATAGGAATTCAAGGTCTCCCCGCCCCCCCCCCACCCTCAGAGGGTCACAGGAGTCTCAAGAAGGGGCAGGCTTCCCCTTCACCTGGCTGATGGGTTTTGTGCCCTTCATGAAGCCTCAGTCTTCAGTTTCAGCTGCTGATGCAGACCCTCCTCTTGAGATGTCTCACCCCATTATCGTCCATCATCTTGGAATGTGTCCACTTCACCCTGGGTTTCTCTTTCAGGGTGTTTTGTCTCACTTTCTAGAATGTTTCACTACCTTTCACACTGAGCTGGAGGGAGCCACTGGCGGTGACTCTTTAGTTGGTGATTGTATTAACTTCCTATTGCTGCTGTAAAAAATTACTACTAACTTGATGTCCTAAAACAGCACACATTTGATTCTCTTTAAGTTCTGGAGGTCAGAAGTCCAAAATCTGTTTCACTGAGCTGAAATCAAGGTGTCAACAGGACTGCTTTCCCTCTGGGGCTTGAGGGGAGAGACCATTTCCTTGACTTTTCCCGCTGCATTCTTGCATTTCTTGGCTCCTGGCCTCTTCCTCCATCTTCAAAGCCAGCAGCGTAGCATCTTGGTTCAACTGTCACATTGCCTTCTTGCCTTCTGTCATCAAATCTCTCTCTGCCCCCTCATTTAAGGATACTTATGACTACAGTTAGGGCCCAACCAGATAATCTAGGATAATCTCTCCCTCTCAAAATACTTAACTTGATCACATCTGCAAAGTCCTTTTTGTCATATAAGGTACTATTCACAGGTTCTGGGGATTAGGATGTGGACATTGGGGTGGCCTACCTAGTGATCTATACTTTGTCTCAGGCTTGGGGGTCACCTACTCTGTCTCTCAACCACTTCCCTCAAAATAGAGTTGAGTATCTTTAGCCAAAGACTACATATCCATAACCCTTCAGGCCACCCCAACTTCCTCCATTCATTCCCTTTAGGCCCTAGGACAGTGCCATTCAATGGGACTTTCTGCCATGATGGAAATGTTCTATATTTTTGCTGTCTAACAGGGAGCCAGCCACTAGCCACATGTGGCCAGGGAGTACTTGCAATATGACTAGTGCAACTGAATTATAAATTTAATGGACATGTAAATAGCCACTTATGGCTAGTGATTAATATATGGAATAGCTCAGATCTAGGCAGATGGAAAGCAGAAGCCAAGACCAGTCAGGCTCTTTTTCTGCTAGCCTCTTCTCACACCATTTTGGATCAGCTCTGCCCCAACCTCCTTCTCTCAGTCCCTGTGGAACCTAAAGGAGGTTTCTAGTGGGGCTCTGGGGTGGTGGATGGCTGAGGGCAGGGCAAAGACGGGAAATGTTTGTCCCCAGAGAGGCAGAGTCCCAGTTCTGCTTTTGCATTGGACTATGAACTCTCAAATATTTTATAAGGTTGCCCTCTTTACCCTACTTTCAGAATGAGCTGTCCTTTTTGGCTCCACAGAGGCATGTCACAGGGAGCACAGAAGAAAGGACTAACCTGGGACGTGGTACTGGCCGAGTTCCGCTCTGTCACCCATCTTCTGGGTGGCCTTTAGCAACTTTCTTCTCAGTCCTTGTCCCTCAGTTTTCATAATACGAGAGGGTTGGATGAGACCGTCTGAGAGGTTCCTCCCAGCTTTAATAGACTACAATTCTGTGTTTTGTAGATCAAAGCTTGATTGTGCACGTAATTCAATCTCAGAACCCTGTTCTGACTCATGTAATAGTTCTGATTGAAGGGTTATTGAAGGTTACTCCCACAATACTCCAGAACCAAATTTGACTTCTTCTGTCCTCATGATAACACTCCACCTTTGCTTTGGGTTTAGAGAGCTGATCCACTAACTAATCTAATCCACATCATGGCACTAGGAAGACAGACACAATGCCCATTGTAAGTGAAAAAGCTAGGCTCAGAGAGGGAAAGAGAATGTTCCAGATGTCAGACCCTGTGATGGGTGCTTTACAATCTATATATATAAAAGCTTAAGCAACTATCCAACCATTCAACTGCCCGACCGTCCAACTGGTAGCTATGACGCCCACTGACCACCAGGGGGCAGACGTTCCAACCAGTAGCTATGACGCCCACTGACCACCAGGGGGCAGACGCTCTACCCAGGAGCTGCAGTGCTGCGGTGACTTGGCAACTGCAGTTCTTGGGTGACGCACCCAGAACCAAAGAGGAGGGAGCCCGATTCCAGGGTGTGTCACCAGAGAAACTCCCTCTTGCAATCTGGGACCCCCTCAGGGGATGTCAGAGAGCCGGTTTTGGCCCAATAACCACAGGCCAGGCCGAGGGACCCCACTGGTGCATGAATCTATGCACCAGGCCTCTAATAACCTCATAATAGTCCTTGCAAATGGATAATATTGCCCCCACTTTACAGGTGTAAAAATTGAGGTCCAGTAAGGCAAGATGACTTTCTTAGTGATATGCTAATAATAAGTGGAGGCCCATTTTTATGACTCTGAACTACCTCATCTTGCCTCTATATCATACTGCTGCTATTTACAACTTCTCTACCAGATGTTGAGATGATAACCCTTGGCATCACAGCTGTCCTTTCAGATCATCCCCTCATGGTGCTCTCCAAACAGACCTACAAGCCTTAGCAAGTTACATCATCTCTGTGCCTCTGTTTTCTCATCTGTAAAGTTGGAGGTAAGAATCCCAAATTCATACGGGTGTTAAAATCCTTGGTGAAAGTATTAAGTGAGATCATGTCTTCAGAGCATTTAGCCCATTTGAAGTCCTCAGTAATTGCTCATTCTTATGGTGTTTGGAAATGGTAGTTTGTCCCTATTAATAACACCAGGCAATTCCCGTTGCACCAGATCAAATTAAAACACAAAGAAACTGTATATATTTTTAAGTTTTATTATAAAAACACATGGAATCAACTGCATTACCCATGTATCCACAATAGCAGAGAAACTGATGGTGGACCATCCCCATGGGGGACATGTGCCCTTTGGCAAAACCAACATAAATTATGAAAATAACACAAAATATAATAACAGCACATAATAAAGATTAAATTGAGAGACGGAACAGGGACTACTGAGAGAAGTAGTGAAGGTGGAGAAGGCGGGTCTCACAGAGAAGCGTCAGGCCCAGGTGACCTTCCCTGGAGACCTGCCTCTGTGCCTGGAGCAGCTCAGTTCAGTTCCAGGTCATTCATGTACTCCTGGACCCAGGGCTCACTGGGGTTGGCGCAGATCTGTCTCCCCTTTTTGGTTTGAAATCTGCGGAAGGAGGAATGGACAGATTAGAACTGAATGGGACCTTGTCTGTGGTAGATACCTCCCTCTGCTTGACCACCGTTCATCTTGGACAGCTCTAGTGGGTGGGAAGACCCTTCTGGGGTGGCTCTGGAAACAGACTCCCTGTAACTTCCACCCTGGATTTAGCTGTGGCCTCAGCTAATTTGGTTCCCAGATTAAGAACCAATGAGTTTTATAATCAACATGACTGTATCTCCCCACTCATTCCCTAGTGCCCCTAGCAATAACCTTTCTATGTGTTTTTCTAAGATGTTTTAAGGATCAGCCCACCTTCCTGTGCTATTTTTTACTTTCCCTAGTTTTCTAGCATCTGGCTCATTTCCTCCCCAGAAATGTCCTCCCCCTGAATCTTGTCCCTTGATTCCCTCCCATCCCCCTCCAGGACTCAGCAAGTGACTTCATGACCTTGTTCCTTATGACTTTCTGGGGAGCTGCAGCCCTCAGGCCTGTCTCCCTCCTGTTTGATCCTCGCCCTGCCCTGCCCTTGCTCTCCAGAGAAGGACAGAAGTTGATACTCACACCACAGCGGGCTGGGAGCAAAGGCTGCTGGTCTCGTAGTAATCCATCACAAAGTCCCGAGGAAGTTTCCGGAGGATGTAGGAGAAGCAGCAGGCAGTGGGAGGGTCGGAACCCACTGGAAAGGAAGGCCGAGGTGAGATCAAAGCTCTACAAGACGCTGCTCCTTTGGCTTTTAGTTATAGATATTCATGGGGCATCTCTGTGGAGCTATGAGAGCCCAAATATGGTCCCTTGTCTAATCCCATCCACCCAGAGTGGGAGTCTTTTTCTGAACATAGGATCCTAAGAGAAGATAATGGAGCTGGATTGGGTCTCAGAGCACACATCTAACTCCATTTAACAGATGAGAAACCAAGACACAGAGAGAGACAGGGACTTTCTTGAACAGGTCTACTGGTTACTGTTTCTTAAGAAAACAGAAACTTGAATGTTACCGAATGTCTAGTAGACACTACATTTAACAGCAGACTACTTAAAAATCTCCCCAGCGCCCTTTTGTCCCATCCCCAGATGCCACTGTTGGACCAGCCCCAACTAGAAAAGCAGGCTCCCTACACTATGGCTCTAGAAGCAGTAGCTGGAATAACAGACTTACTTGGTGCAGAGAGCACTGGAGAGCAGAAGGCCGCCGCTAGCACGAGGAGAGAGAGGACAGTCACACAGAGCTTCATGGTCTTGGCAGAGAAGAGGCTTTCCTGGAGCTGAGACTGAAGAACCCAGAAGCTTCAGAACTCGACTGTGTTCTGTGCTGATGCTGAGCTGGGATCCCCTCTTTATAGGAACTCTGAGGACTGGGACAGAGGTGGGAGCATAGGAGGGCAAGTGGAATTTCCAGGGTAGAGATGATGTCATGGTGCCGATACGGAAACTGAAGTAGCTGAGAGTGAGGAGCTCTGCACAGCTTCTCTTCCCCGGGGCGATGTCATCACGGTGGAAAGGAGGAGGAGGTGGAGGGGAGAAGTGGGCTGCACCCTCGAGGGAAGTGGTACACCAACGGCAGTGACCAAGACCAAGGAGAGAATTGTAAACCCGAGAGGAAGGGTGCAGCATTCACACCTGCGAGGACTTTAGACACGACAACCATGCTGTTCTTGGTGGTTGTCACCTCCAGAAGCCTCATGTCAGTCTTTCTAAAGTTGCCATAAGCCTGGCCCCAAAAAGGAAAGGGGAACTAGAACTCCATGTCAGATTTTTGGACCTCCTGCAGGGCTGAGTCACCCTAGTGCCTATATGTTTCTTTGGGCATAAAGAGTCCAGCATGGAATGTGCAGAAGGGCCCATCAGGACACTGACCTATTTATCGAACAGGCACTGCGTGCCAGACACTGGGCAAGCTGCCTTATACACATAACATCAAATCCTACCTTGACCTGAGCAGGTGTGTGATTATTTCCCAGAAGCAATAAAGATCGAAGAACAGAGGAGAGTTCACTGATAATTTCAAGGCCACAATCTTAAGTGGCGGTGCCAAGATTGAAATGAGAGTCTTTTGACTCTAAAATCCATTTACTTTTCACCCTTTGTCGCAAATATTGAATGTGAACACAAAGGGAGAAGTTATTGCCCACCAGGGACTATGGTACACACCAAGAACCATCTTATTAGGGCTGGATTCAGGACAGGAGTTTGGGTCAGTTTGTCCTAGAACAAAGAGGGGACAGGAGGAAACAGAAGCAAAGATTCCAGTATGTTCACTTGGACCCATAATAGAAAAGGAAAGAAATAAGTAAGAATCAAGTTTGGAAAACCCACATAAAGAATGTTCCTCCATAATTTACGAAGTGATCACCCCAATAAGTCTAGCACCCACTTGAGACATGTATAGTTAGTATAATATTATTGACTAATTCTCCATGCTATATTTTACATCCCCATGACTATTTTGTAACTGCCAATTTGTACTTTTTAATCCCTTCATCTTTTTTTACTTTTGTAAATTATATATATAACCACTTACGCTGTACATCTGAAATTAATATAAAATATCAAATGTCAACTGAAATTGAAAAAGAAAAAATAATGTTCCTCTAATATATAAATGGGATTGGATGTACCTAGCAATGAATTTATCTATGTTATGGATAAAACATGTAATCTAAGCATGTGGGTGTTTCCCAGCCATCCACAGGGGATCCCTTATGTTCATATAAAGCCCTGCCTGGTCCTCTAGCTGCAGTCCTGAGGCCTGAAGTGACCTGAAGGTGATTAGGTAAAGTTCACCAAGGCCAGGAACACAGTAGTACATGCAGAGAGCAAGTGAGGGCAATTAGGACGATTGGATCAATATCTCTATTTACCTTCCAACCACTCTGACCCACCTGCTCACCCCAGCTCCACATTGTTACCTGCCTCTGCTCCGAGAAAGAAGAATGATGAGTGAAAACAGGAAACCAGGCCCCCTGGGTGCTGTAGAGGTGTGGGATAGGCGGGGGGCAGAGCAGCATCTTGGGGTACTTCAGAGTCACTAAATAAAGCACAATGTCATCCGACCTCGCATCACTGCCTCCACCATCACCTACACACACCGCAACCCACACACATACAAACTGTTCCTCTTTCCTCCACTTTTTCTATCCTCACCCTTTTCTTTGTGCAAGTCTTGCTTCAAATGTTCTGATCTTTACCAAGGCCCCTACCCGCAGCTCTAATGTTCTGTAATCCCTCATATCACATATGCCAGTATCTCTCACGGTCTCTACTGGTTGGTGGGGTTTCATCTTCATGTATCGAGGACATTACTTTAAGGGAAAGAGGGTGTGTCTTGTGTTCCTTGGGATCTACACAGACTTTGTTATCCATTCCATTTCCATTCAACCCAGTTTAGAAGTCATCCGCTTTTTGTCAGGGAAGGCAGAGCAGAATGAAGTCCCATCCCTCCCCTCAAAGAGCTCTTAGTCTAGTGATGGTGTTGACAGTGACAGAAATAACTACCCCATGAGATGGAATAAAGTAAGTGTCACATCAGAGGTAGAAACAAAATGTCAGAGCTTCCCTCGGCTGTAGACGCATAGTTCCAAATCAAGTCTAAATCCCACTGTGTGCTGAGGAGGAGCCCTTGCTGTGGAGACCTCTGTCTAAATGAGTGGGGTGTGCTGATCTTCAAGCTGTGGAGGGACCTTGAAGATACTCTGGGGCATTAGGAGAATGATGATAGATAAGAATGGGTGATGAGTCTGCACGGAGCCACACAATGAGTTTGTTGGCTTTTGCTTCTTAGCCTTGATTTGATCTTTGGCTCATGGAGGAAAAATGTTTTGTTCATGAAGGTCCCAACAATAATATTGTGTTCACAGAGAAATTCAACACCAAGAGCACGAAGGCATGTTAATATGTTTAGCTAAATCAATATGGCCACCAAGATTTATCCATTGAGGCCATTTCTAAACAATAGGTGACAGAGAATGATAGCAAATGCCTCTCGGGTGCACAACAGGAAAGTGCTCATCTTCTGTAGAGAAACTTCCCTGGCCTCTCCTCCAACTGAATTCTGCACCTCCCTCTGTGCTCCTACAGCTCCTGAGCTACCACCACCATATCACCTGAAACATATCTATTCAATCACCTCCCCACTGGAGAGTGAGCTCCTTGGTGCAGAATATATGTTATGCCTATCTCTGTGCACTCAATAGGTGTTCAATAAATACTTGTTTAATAAATGTCCAGAAGCAGCCCAAACTACCAGTTGTAATGGGAGGGGGTGTGATAGGTAACATGGACTCAGGATGTGAACTCCATTTAAGTGAAGTAGGAATGAAGTGGGCATTCTACTCAAAATGTGATCCCCCAGCCCTGATGGGGTGATAATTCCCCTTCTTCCCCTGCCTGCCCTCAACCCACACACCCAGTGGTTTTATTTGAGGGTTACTATTTTAGAACTCACTCTTTCCAACTCAGGGGTGTGAGAAATGATAGCAGGAGTCCATCATGGCTCCAGAGAGCTCCAAATGCATTCAGTGGATCACCCACTCTCTTGTTGCAGGGAAACCTTTCACTTCCCCTCACTTATGGGAACAGAGCTTTCTCCTTCTGTAACCTTAACTGGCACTGTGCTCATAGCTCCATTCTGGGCACTTTCACATCAGTTTTGTCACTTGTCCTCCCAGTCTCTGTAAGCTGCAGGCAGGACTGACAACCCCTGACCTTTCAAAGGCCCTGGTACTTTTCATTTCCCCCAGGATATCCAAGTCCATGGTTTTATCAGATACCAATCTAGATAACAAAACCTAAAGTAGTTAAAAGACTGGATCAAGGTCACACAGGATGTGTGTAGGACCACAGGTCCATAGAGGACTAACTTCCTGTACAAGTGTGACCCTCTGAGATGGCACAAGTAGGGAATCTCTGAAGGTTATCAGCTTCTCAGAAGAGACTGCAAAGCTGCTGAGGAGCAGGAAACAGAGGTGACAATCTTGACGATCTGTGTTCTCTTAGAAAGAGTGCTGAGATGCATGAGTGTTGGGGAGACCATTGAGTGTTGGGGCCAAGAGCATTAGTCACAACGAGGTAGAATGCCTAGAACTAGAGAATCCCTTACAAGCAACTCATGAGACTGGAAATCCATAGCAAGATGGAATACATGGTCACTTTGCCAACATAATAAACAAAGAAGAAGTAAATTCTTTGGTTTTGCCAATATGGTTGCCAAGTCACTTGGGGGAAGTGTGTTGTAGAAACAGGACACCATTATCCAAAGGCCAGGGCTCAAGATGGGGTCTGGAGGAGCGTAAACTAGTGAAGCAATGCATCAGGGCGGCCACACTCCCACCCCCTCAAGCCAGCCAGCCCCACTCTTCTGGAAGTGGAAAGGGCCTTCGACACCCACCACAGCCTGCTCTTTTGCAGTCAGGAGTGGAAGGCAGCGACAGGTTCTAAAAAACCTTCAGTATTCTTGATGAAGCATCTTACTTCCTTCAAACAACACTTTTATGCATGTTTCGATCTCTTTCCAGGCTGGAACATCCAGCCAGAGAGGAAAATAAACCAGTAGCACTTTACTGAGTACCTGCTATGGGGCAGGCCCTATGTCAGGCACCAGGAAGCACTTCACACCCCCTCCCCTTTGGAAAGTGGTGAGTGTTCAAAAAGGCTTCCCCAAAATGGCATGTAAACATTTATATTAGTTTGCTTTGTTTTCAATAGCAAATATACATGATAACTGTACAAAATTTAGAAAATATAGGAAATCATAAGAAAGCAAAAATTACCCAGCATTCTGTATGTAGTTTTGCATTTTATGAATGATACTTAATAGTCTTTCTTGAGCTAATATATTTTAATATTGTTACTTTATATTCTTCCCTGTCATTAAAAACTTAAATTCCTGGAAATCAAGACTCAGCCCTCTGAATGCCATGTCATTCCTTAAAAGTGCAGGTCTCTTGTCTGCTTTTTAGGAATGAGGTGTCAACTTGGAGTGATTCCAAATCAGCATGCATGATATTTCATTGCATGGATATACCAAAATTTTATGCCAAAATGTATCTTTAACCATTATGTTACTTAAGTCAGCCCATTCAGATTGTTCTAACTTTTCTCTATTATACATTGGGCTGAAACTTGAAGGATAATTAGCCAGGAAAAGAGGGGGGGTATTCAGGCAAAGAACAAGGGGCCTACACTTTTAAAATGTATAAAATAGATTAATTGAAATGTTCAGTAGTAATTATAATAGTAACTAATACATAGTACTTATTATGAGCCAGCGATGTTCTAACTCTTTTA